TTTTGTGATGACAACAATGAAGTATAATATTTCGCTATTAGATCGCAATACAGAATTCTCTTTATGGTAGGTAAACATACAAGCAGTACTCACTCAGATAGATTTGGACGATGCATTTTTGGGATTTGACAATATGCCCACAACTTGGACTTCGAAGGGGATCAAAAAGCCCTATCTCAAATACATCTTCATCTTTCAAATAATATTCTTCATGACGTTTTAAAGGAGAATTCAGCATTTGCATTGTGATTAAAATTGGAGCAATTATACATAACGAAGAGTTTTACTAGCAAATTGCATATGAAGCAACGTTTCTATTGTCATCGTATGACAAAAGGTGTATCTTGAAGGATCACCTAGCCGTTTTTAAAGAAATCGTTGTTGATGTGAAGACCTTGGAGATCAAATATGATAAAGAAGGTTTAGGATTGATTTTATTATTTTCATTGCCCACTTCAAACATTTCTTTTAGAGACATGATTTTATATAGTCGTGATACTCTCACATCGAAGAAGTCTATAATGAATGATGTAAGCCATGTTCTTTACAAAAAAATTTGAATTTTTTGCCAATATATTCATTACCATGATCCGAGCGTAAAGCTTTGATCTTGTAGCCACTTTGATTTTCCAACATTACTTTGAAGTTCTTAAAAGTCTCAAATGCATCGGACTTTTCTCTCAGAAAATAAACCTTAGATTTACAAGAAAAATCATCAATAAATAGCATGAATAATTATTTTTACTTAATGATGATAATTTGATTGTGCCACAAAGATCTCTATGCACCAATTCAAGAGGCTATATTGTTTGGTAACTTGCTTCTTTTGTAAAAGCTTTTCGGGATTGCTTCCTATAGAGACATCCTTCACAAAGTAAATTTCGATGATGAATATGTGGCAGTCCCTTTACCATGTTCCACTTTGCCAAGAGATTCAAATTGTCAAAATTTAGATGCCCAAGTCTCAAATGCCATAGCCATGTTGAATCTTTGATACACGCGTTCAAGCACTTAACTTCTCCGCTTTGGATGTTCAACAAGAACATTTGGTTCTTTGGCATTGGAACTCTAGCTAAAAAGTTCCCATTTTGTTCTTGAATTGTTTTCTCTTGATTTCTCATTCAGATGTCATATCCCTTCTTCAAAAGTTGGCCCAAACTCAAAATATTTGTTTTCATAGAAGAGACATATAGACATTAGAAATATATTAGTATTCTCATTTCTTCATTTGAATAAGACTTCTACCTTTTCCCTTGACTTCAACCTTTGATGCATTTCCAACATTAACATGGCCATTTAATTCTTCAAACTCCATGAAAATAGATTTATCTCCACATATGTTGTTACTTACACGTATGTCTAAATACCAAAAATTGTTACCTTCTTCTTGCACCTTGTATGCCAAGTGTAATGTTTCCTTTTTCAACATAATTGGACTTCTCAACATGATTATTTATACACTCCCATGTAAAATGCCCAAGTTTATGACAATTGCAACATTCAACTTGAAACTTGTCATACCTTCCATAATTGTTTCTTCTTTCTCTCCTCTTTGATAATTTTGTCTTCGTCGTCCTCTCGAATTATATGAATGTTGATAATTTCTTTCATTGTTAACTAAATTTTGAACATTTCTATCCCCTCTTCCTCAACCTCTTCCACATCATCTTCCTTATTGTCTCCTACTATGATTCTCATCCCTAACTTTCAAAGAAAGGCTTGTTTGTATGATTTGTTCAATTGGTTGTTGTTTCTTCTTCAACAACCTCTCCTCATTAGCTTGTAAGGTGCCCACGACTTCATCATTAGTCATTTCTTCCAAATCCTTCGACTCTTCAATTGCCACTATAATAAAATTAAATTTTTCATGTAAAGATCGAAGAAGTTTTTCGATCACTTGAAGATCATCCATTTCTTCTCCATATCTTTTCATTTCATTGACAACCACCGAAACTCGTGAAGCATAATCTGAAATTGACTCCGATTGCTTCATGGAAAGTTTTGCATATTCTCCCCTCAAAGATACGAACCTTTTTTACTTTGTTCGCATCTTTATAAGTGCTTTCAAGAATTTCCCATGCTTCTTTTCCGGTAGTAGCATTCGAAATCTTTTGAAAAATTGTATCATTAAGTGCTTGATGAATCACACTAAGAGCTTTTTGATCCTTCCTCTTAGTTGCTTGTTGCAACTCTCTTTGGACTTGAGACATGCCCTCTTCATTTTGAAGTCCAAAACCTTTCTCTACCAAATCCCATGTATCTTGACTTCCAAGATATGTCTTCCAGACGAATACACCACGTACTATAATTGTCATTTGAGAGTCGAGAAATGGGAAGATAGTTGTTGGTTACCATCTCTTCTTCTCACACTTCTATAACATTGCTTTGATACCACTTTTGCAGAAAATTTGAGACAAGAAACTTAAGAGATGAGACAATAAATTCAAGAGAACAATCAACTTATTATTTCTTGAATTGACTTGGATTAAAATGCTAGAATCACAAGCCTTTTATAGGCTTTACAAAGCATGTACCTAATCTAGTACATGTATCCACCATTATTACATTCTTCCTCGTAAAATGTTTAATGAATATATCAAATACATGAATATTCAACTAGTACATGAATCCATTATACATGTTTTCATTAATTAGAATACATGTATCTCAACAATGCATGAACGTTATAAATCCCATTACATGAACCAATTAAATTATAATCAAGTTTATATTTCTAATAGTAAAATGTATTATCGTATTTGATCTTGCTATTTATTTTCTTTCATTAGCTGCTTTACATCATTTAATTATAATTCAGAAATACATTTGCTATATTCTTATCTTTATGCAAAGAATGAATCATGGTTACAACAAGAAATATTGCGCTAATTAGTATCAATTAAAATGTTAGAGCTAAAATTTCTTTCATGTTATTGCATTGTAATGATTAAAAGTGTGGAGCTTTGATTTGTAATATTTGTAATGATATTAATATTTTTGTTGTGACATTAGATTTTAGACTAATATTTATAATTTAACTTCTTCGATTTTTTTTTTTTGTTGCTAAATCATGATTTTAATTTGAAAAAAAAAAGTAGTTTCTTTGGATTTGGTTTAGAAGTAAAGTAGTTTGGTCTGATTTGCAAAAATTTCAAACAATTTTAAATGGTTTTATTTGAAAATTTGTCAAATATCGTTTTCACTCCTAGTGCTTGAGACCTTCTTGCAGGCTTGATAGGCCTATTACTAGGTTGCTATTTATTTTTTTTCAATTGCTAGGTTTCTGTTAAATGTGAATTTTAAATCACATGATGAATGCGCAAATATATCTAATAAAGTCCATTAATGAATGCAGTGGAGGCCCACGAATAAGGTACCATCATCGTCCAAACTTGCAATACGTCCAGGATCTGAGCAAATAGAGTGCCTTAAGATCGCTCAGAATGAATGAGCCCATTCTTACCTAAACCTTCGAATCGCCCAAGATTTTAGCAAACATGAGTTATTATGGTTATCCAGAACAGCAGTTATTGAGCAATCTTATCACACCGCATGATCCAAGGATCCAATTATAGGCGGTTGAATGACAAGAGTAATGCAACAGTTAGAGACTGCAGTTTCACGACAAGTCAGTCATCATGAAGAAAGTGGGTAGTTATAGAGCAATCAAGCAATTTCCAAATGGTTTGTTGCGAAGAAATTATCAATGGAGTATAAAAATGAAGAGAAGACATAGAGGAAAGGACCCCAAATCAAACACTCACAACAGAGAATATGAAATTTCAATTTCTTAGTTTAACTTTAAAACACTCCAGTAGTCACTGAACTTTACCGAAAGTTTCCACCAGGTCACTGAACTTTAAAACTACGTGGTTAGTCACTGAACTTTCGAAATTGCAACCCCATCCATCACTGAACTTTAAAAATCACCCCATTAGTTACTGAACTTTGCAAAAGATTTCTACGGAGTCACTGAACTTTGCAAAAAGTTTCCCAAATGATCACTGATTCAGTAACTATCTGGGAAACTTTTTACAAAGTTCAGTGATGAATGAGGTGATTTTTAAAGTTCAGTGATGGATGGGGTTGCAGTTTCAAAAGTTCAGTAATTAACCACGTAGTCTTTAAAGTTCAGTGACCTGGTGGAAACTTTCAGTAAAGTTCAATGATTATTGGGGTAATTAACCCTGTGTTTGCACCCCTTGGAGGCATTCTATTTATTNGAGTTGAGTCCTTGAACCATGCGTGCATTGCTTGGAGAACTCACACAAGTTGTCGTTGAGCAGGTAAATCTATGAAATGTTCATAATATAGAAAGATTTACCCAAAATGGGAATCACATTATGACAACATGGCCAAACAACTGAATACATTAAACGAAATAATGAACAAGTTAGTAGGCCAAATGTGTCAGTCAGTTGTGCCTATTGCAAACCACTTTCAAACTAGGACGATTGTGGGACATAATCCCCAGTCCTAAGTCCGAATCAAGGGATAGAACCACTTTTTGGTCCGTCTACTTCAAACCAGGTGGCAGTGTAGTGCCAAACTTGAATAGTAGTAATAGTACGTCAAACCTGGAGAGTAACCTAAATATAAGAGACAATATCCTGAATAATGGACAGAATACCCCACATATTAATGATTGAATAAATACTCTGGCTAACTGTAATAATGGCCCAAACAATAGTAATTTTGTCGCCAACCAAGGACCAAATGTTAGGCCTCAGGCAACTCAACCAGTCAACCAACATGTAGGAATTCCATATGATCCCAACGTCATGTTGATGAATCAAACCATGGAAATAGTACAGGATCAAATGACTGTTAGGATATGCCTGTCATTAGGCCGACCTACATAAAGCCATATCCTGATTGGGTGGACCAAGCATATCCATAGCCTAGAGGGTACAAAGTGCCAGAATTCTCATTATTCACTGGTTTAGGAGAAGTGTCTACTCTAGAACATATAGGGTGGTGAAGTGACTCACTACCACAAAATGAGGTTGTTCACTAGTTCATTAACAAGAGTAGCTTTCTTCTGGTTCATTAATTTGCCAGCGAACTCTGTTCAAACATGGCAACAACTGGAACAATTGTTCCATGCTCAGTTTTATAAGACTGAGCCTAAAGGTACCTTGGCTGATTTGGCGAATTTACGTCAAATGCCAAACGAATGGGCAGAAGGTTTCCTTCAAAAGTTCAAGACAACAAAAAGTAAATGTTTTGTGCCTTTGCCCGAAAAAGAGTTTGTCAAAATCGTTCAAAGTTGCTTAAGCTTTGATTTGAAAAAGAAATTCCAAGACAGAGAATTTCCTGATCTTTTCCAACTGAGTGCAAACGTGATTAGATATGAATGATTGATAAGAGAAGAAGAGCAAATAAAAAATTCTAGCAATGGGACTTATTATATAGACCCGAATTTTGATGGTCATATCATTAATGACGAGTATTATGATCAAACTGAAATATATTTGGCTGAATTAATCAAAGATGAAAGACAGGTAAGGACGAGCTTATAAAAGATGAAAACAAAAAGGCTAGGTAGTTTTCGTTCGATGTGACCAAAGCTGACCTTATATTTGATAAACTGTACAAGGATAAGCAGATAAAGTTGAGTGATAAGCATAAATTGCCAAGCCCTGAACAAATTAAGGGTAAAAAATATTGTAAGTGGCATATTGCTTGGTCTTTCGTCATGTATTACATGATGCTATCGAATCAGGGCGAATTACGTTCGAAGTTAAGAACTAACAATTGTTTGGTCTTTCGTCGTGTATTATAGGATGCTATCAAATCAGGGCGAATTACGTTTGAAGATAAGAAGAAGATGGCAGTGGATGAAAACTCTTTCCCATAGCCACTTGGGGTGAATATGATGACGACTGGTTTCAAAAATAAGTTGCCAAGATTCAAATTGGTTATCGAAGGGAAGGAGCCTAGAAATGATGAAGATATTTTGTGTACAAGATGTAAAGGAGAAATGAGTGCAAAACCAGAGAAACCAAGAGTAGGGCAACATCACCATCGCCCTGATTTTGTCCCAAATGCTCAGCCTGTTAGAGGTCGAGGTACATCATTCTATAGAGAACCGCCTTTTGAGAGGCAATTTAGGCCAATGAATAATGTGAGGATATTTAGGCTACAACCTCGCCAATCAAACGTATGGCATTCCTTCCAGTATAATGCAGAAATGGTGATACTCTTCAATGAGATGACTAGAACCTAACAAAGGCATTTTCAACGAAGTTATGGTCCGAATGATGAAGTAATAAAAGGGATTATCACGCCTTAAAGTGCCTAAAATACTTGAGGTGGCCAATCAAAATGTTCTCGAGGATAGTAAAGAGACTGGTACAGATAAATCAATGGAAGAACTGCTAGAAAGTTCTTCTGGAGATTAAAGTTTGAGCGAGGCAAAAGGGATGAAGAAGATCTAGATCAACACCTTACTATTCAGTTCGGTACATTACCTCATGTCATCGCTAATAACTATTTACTAGCCAATGAGTTCAAAAACAAAGAGAAAAAAATGGAGGATAATGAAGAGGAAGCATGTGTGCTGGAATGTAAAGAAGGCCAAACATCTTGAGGGGCATACAATGAGGAAGATGATGATGGTATGACGGACATTGAAGAAGAAATCGATCTGGAAGCAGAAAGAAGAAAGAGAGTAGTATCGCGCAATACCCTGTTAAAGCAACTATATCGATAAGGTGTTCGTGAAGTGGACTTGTTAGGAAAACCATCTGGGCGTTCTTTCGATTATTATGTGTTGTACGGGACACCTAAGAGAAAAAGGAGAATACCTCGCTCTGAAAAGAATGGGGTCACCTCCAAGAATATTGCCTCCTTCCACAGGTTGAGTAATTGGAGAAGAAACTCTGGAGAGTAGTAAGAAGAGAACCCAAGAAAAAGAAGATCAGCGTGACATATTGCATGTTGAATTATCACAAGGAAATGATTCAACAGAGGACAAACAGAAAGTGGAAATAGATACTGTTGAGAAGGTTATACTAAGAGACCAGCCATGAAATTGACTAAGCACTTGAGGCCATTGTACGTGAAGGCCTTGGTCAACGGTATACCTGTAGCGAAAGTACTCATTGATAACGGAACAGCTATAAACACCATCCCGTCCAGAATGATGAGGAAGTTTGTAAAGACAGAAAATTATATGATTTCAATAGAAGTCATCCTCACAAGTTTCAATGGAGGATCAACTTCGACTAAAGGGGTTATGCCATTGAACATAACTGTAGGGACAACTATTAGGACTACAGTCTTCTTTGTAATAGATGGTCCTACTAGTTATAATGTGTTGCTATGAAGGGATTGGATCCATGGGAGTCGCTGCATACCTTCATCACTCCACCAGTGTCTAGTCTTCTAGAACGACAAGGGCGAAACAGAAGTGGTACAGGCAGATTATAGACCCTTTGTGGCAGAAGCAAACTCGGTGGAAAGGTTTATGTACGAAGGAAATTATGGACCTGTCAGGATAATCCAAGATGGAGAAGAGACTCAAATTGTTGCACAGAGGGAAGAGCCATTTTCAGTAGATGTACTCAATGAAATATTTAGTCAAATGACGCCAAACATAGTTGCCCTGAAAGAGCCAGTAATTGGCAATAGGTAATCAAGGAATTTTAAATGAGTTGTAAGAAACAAGGGCAAATAGTCGATATTCAGACCTTCAAAGCCAAGATAATGGCTTTCAATAAAGAATGTAAAGACAAGACAAAAAAAAAAAGCAGTATTAAAAGTGTTGGGAAACAAATTGGCAGTGTTCAAGCTGGAACAGAATATTGGCCGAAAAGTCAACAATGTGGATTGTTTAGACGAATGAGTGCCTATAAGGAACATGGACGACGAAGTGCTGAGGATCACCAAGCCTGGATACGCTCAAGTACAAGACCCTCTGATTATAGTGAATATTGGTGATGAAGGGGAAGATCGCCCAACATTTGTCAGCCAGAAGCTTGATCAAGAGGTTAGTGATAAATTAATCACTTTACTAAAAGAGTATAAGGATTTTTTTGTTTGGGAATATGAATATATGCCTGATTTATATAGAAATTTGGTGGAACATAGATTGCCAACTAAGCCAAATTTTAAACCTCATAAGCAGCCTCCTAAGCGTTTTGCTCATAATATACTTCCTGAAATCAAGAAAAAAAATAGAGCAATTGTTAAAAATAGGTTTTATTAGAACGGCCAGATATGTCGATTGGTTGTCTAATATCGTGTCATACTAAAAAAGAATGGTAAATTAAGGGTGTGCATAGATTTCAGAAACCCAAACTTAGCCACGCCCAAAGATGAGTATCCAATGCCTACAGTGGATTCTTTAGTAGACTCGACTACCGGACATGTAATATATTCCTTTATGGATAGGTATTTAGGATACAATCAAATTCACATAGTTGAGAAAGACATACATAAAACTGACTTTAGATGCTCTGGATCTTTAGGATGTTTTGAATAGGTAGTTATGCCTTTCTGCTTGAAAAATGCATGGGCGACTTATCAAAGGGTAATGAACTTGATTTTTCATGATATGATAGGTAAGTTTGTTGAGGTGTATATAGATGATATGGTGGTCAAATCCATTAAAGAAGAAGACCATTTTGAACAATTGAGATGTTCATTTGAGCGAATGAGGCAACATAAATTAAAATTGAATCCTTTGAAATGTGCATTTGGTGTTAATGCAGGAAACTTCCTTGGTTTTCTAGTGCACAAAAGGGGTATTGAACTCGATAAAAATAAAGGGGTTGAAGAACGATTTCCAATAAATTTGAAATCTTAGCATGATCAAAAATCGAATTGGTAGGGCCATGATTTACTAGACGTACATGCCACCTACGAAAAATAATATCATTTTTGGGCCAGTTGAGGATACATTTTTCGCGAATCGGTCTCAGTGGCGAAGAGTTCAGAAACGGAGGGGCCTTGAGTACAAGGGAACAGCTGACCCACCATCGTTTGTCCAACAGTTTCAGCATCATTGAATGATGGGTCTAGATAGAATTCATTGAGGTCAACATTGGCTTATGCAAGGAAGTTTGAACTTATATACGGTCTGTTAAGGAGGTTTCGAAAATCCTCGAAACTGAAAGAATCATCGGAATGAGTTTGTGAAGTCGCCATTGGATACAAAGTACAGTTTTTATGAAACGTAGTAGAGAAGCAAGAAGACGAACAATAAATAGTGAGAAGGAAGCGCGGAATATAGAGACGTGGTTTAGTGGTGCGATGAAATGGCGTGTCTTTTAGGTTTGTAGGGGTGTGTAACGATTACAACTTTTCAGATTATAGACGGGTTACAAACAAACGGAAATAATGATTGAAATTCTTGGGAATTTCAAGTATTACCGGAAAATACAAAGAAAGAATATGGCAAAGATTAATAATTGGTATTAATTCTGCCATATTTGGGGGTAATTGTTGACATACAAAAAGTGTAGCCTAAATGGAATAGTCCAGGGGATGAAGCCCAGATATAGAATTCAGGCTGAATGCCCAAATAAGACCATTAATGAATATAGTGGAGGCCCACGAATAATGTACCATCATCGCCTAAACTTGCAATACACTCAGGATCTGATCGAATGGAATGCCTTAAGATCGCCCAGAACAAATGAGCCCGTTCTTGCCTAAACCTTTGAATTGCCCAGGATTTTAACAAATATGAGATATTATGGTTATCCAAAACAGCAGTTATTGAGCAATCTTATCACACCCTACGATCCAAGGATCCCAGTTATAGGCGGTTGAACGACAAGAGTAATGGCAACAGTTAGAGACGGCAGTTCCACGACAAGTCAGTCATCATGAAGAAAGTGGATAGCTATAGAGCAATCAAACAGTTTCCAAACAGTTTGTCGCGAAAAAATTATCAAGGGACTATAAAAAGGAAGAGAAGATATAGAGGAAAGGGCCCCAAATAAAANACACACGCGTGTGAACCTTTTTTTAATTATTAGCGACAATCCGCACGATATATATATATATATATATATATATATATATATATATATATATGGTATGCACTGTTTAAGAGATCCTAATACAACGGTCGTTCATAATTAGTGCAATATGGAATTGGGATGATTTAAGCTTCATATTTTAAATGTGTTACTTTAATTAATTTTTATCTATTATATTTCGTAATTTAATTAAAAACTTAGCCAGTAGTTGTTTGGTCATTTTAGTGATTTTCGTCGTAGTATTTTTAGCATTTAATAAGAGTTAGAGCTAAATTCGGTCCAATGTCGATATTTTCTGAAATCAATAATCTTTATATTAAGACTGAATTCTCGACATGAATGTGCGAATCAACGAGTCTTGATTGTGAAATATTTGGTATTCTTGTGATAATCAAGAATTATATTCTTCATTCTTGTAATTTCTCGCTTCTGGCTACATCAATTTGGTATCAAAGAATATTCACTTCCAAATAGAGACAGGTTGTTATTCGTTAAATCCAATGGTAGAGTCATTTCACACGGTGATAACATTTTCACCCCTTTAAATCTTGAGATGTGGATGTTGGGCTTTAAATGGGTTATTTAGAGCCCAATACTTCTCGGTCAATGGTGAATTGATTATCAACAATCAAGTCAAAATGCTCGACTTGAAATCAACATAGACCGTTGAAAGTAGCTTCAGGATTTAATATTACTAAATGCCCATTTATTTACCTATTGGATGGCTTTTAATTTTGGCCCATTTCACTTTATTGATCCAACTAAAGCCAAACATATCCCTATGTGTGTGTGTGTGTGTGTGTGTTGCTTTGACGTAACCATTTTGTGTGTGATTTGTGTAACAAAAGGAAGAAAATGTGGTTGTCTATTGAAGAAGAAAACTGGCTGCTTTTGTGCTTCAAAAAATCGGTGGTTAACTTTGTGTTCTTGGCCTCCTCTTCTTGCCTTGGTGGCCTACAAATCAACACCATTTTCTTGTCTTTTGTGGGTGAGATTGAAAAGCAATTGAGGTAAATATTGATTGTGGGTTGGAGCCATTTGGATTGGTTGTTTGGTAGATAAATGTAATGTGAAACTAAGGCCGAAAAACATTGAGCTTCCACAACAATTGATATCAGAGCTTCAAGGTGGTGGTGAATCTTGCTAAAAAAATTTGACCAAAAAATCTAGCAGAAAACAAGTAGAATCGAAGTAGAAAATAGATCTGAAAACTATGAAAAAATCTAGGTTGTTTTCTCTATTTTCGGTCAGATCACTTAACTCGTAGATGAACGGAGACCACTGACATGACGTGCAGGCATAGGCAATTTCGACGGTTAGGTGCGTGTCACCGACAGTAACGTGTGAAGCCCACGCGCAAAGACTCCAAATAACGAGTGCGTGATTTCTGATGTCTTCAAGTAGTTTGTTCTTGACATTTTTTCTGACATTTTGATATTGTTAGTTTTCTGTTTCAGGTTATACAGTGGAATCTGAATATTTTACCCTTTTCACATTTGGATTCGAACGCGTTTAATTAATTGCTGCAGTTGTTGGAGCTTTATGGCGAATAGTTGTGGCCCTAAAGTACGGTAAATTTGCATCTCTCGAAATTTACGGACCTTCAAACATGGTTCGCTTTGTTATATTTGCTTATCGCAGTTTAAATTTCGGCATTAGCGAGGTATCGTATGGGTTGATATTAGGATTGAGATTACCGTGTGGGGTAACCATTGCTAGTGTTAGAAATTTAAGAATTATTTGCTCTATTTGAAGTGCTGAATTTAATTGTAATTTGATATTGGTTTTTTATTTAAATGTCATTAAGTCACTGTATGAGACTCATTGCATGAGAAACTAAGGTTTTTGTTGACATACTTTCGTGTTACATTGATTATTCTGTTAGAATCCCTAAACTTGACCCGTTTGTCTATTCGCTTGATACTGAGATTGTGAATCACATAAAATCCTGGAAATCTAGAATGATGTATATTGCGACCTTATGATTACATTGTGTGACCTATTTGTACACTTTGGTTGTTCTATTATTTCAAATGTCTATTATTTCAAATGTCTTCACATTTCAAAATTAGAATTTTCAATGGAAAAGTAGATTTTTCAATTTGCAACAAAGATGAAGGAGACTTTATTTCCAAAAAAAAAAAAAAAGAGTTGCAAAAGTCATAGATGGCGATTTTCACGTTGATTTGACAAAAGCACAAAAGGAAGAATATGATGAACTTACTTACACTTCAATTATTTTACACTTATCGACACTGTTTTAAAAAAGTTGGAAAAATTAATTCCACAAAAGAACTTTGGAAAATGTTGGAGAATTTATATTTGTTTAAATCTACTC